TGCTGGCTGCTGGTAGTGGGAGAGAAATGAGGAAACCTGCAGAGTCGGACTAAGCCAGTCGACGAGGTCCTGGGGCAGCCCATTCTCGCCCTGCAGATTTGTGTTGTACGAGGCAAGCTGAACAAGAAGCATAATGACGTCTATTGAAACTTAGGGGATATAATATTCTAAGTCTATTTCGCAGACGGGCCACGAGAGACGCCCAGATCGCGCAGCTCGCCCTTTGCCAGGTCGTACACCCAGCCGTGCACCCAGATCTCCTTGCCCTTCTTGCTCTTGTGCGCCCACGCGTCCACAATCGTCTGCGCCTTGCTCAGGTTCTCCACCTGCAGCTTCACGTTCTCCTCCACGATCACCGGCACCGCCTCGGCCTTGGGCGCGCTCGACAGCTTGAGCGACGCGACGTGCTTGGTGAGCGGCGTCAACCACTTGTTGAGCGCGGCGTCGGGCGCGAGGCTGGGGTCGATCGTACAAATCGGGGCGCTGGCGGAGAACGCGGGCGAGGACGCGGCGCCGAAGCACGCCGCCGCACCACCGCACTCGGTGTGTCCGACGACGACGACTGCGGAAGCAAGGTTGGGATGGCAGTTACGGATCAGGGGGAAGAAAGAAAGCACCGTGTTCAACGCCGAGGTGGTCCAAAGCGTATGTGAGCACTGCCTGCGCACTATCGTCGTCGAGCTGAAATTGACTGGTTCGGGCGAATGAGCACAGGCAACGCATATTAATGGCAAGCACCTACTTGGCGATATTTCGGTGCACAAAGATCTCACCCGGGCGGACAGCAGTTACTACAGACTCGGGAACCCGTGAGTCGGAGCAACCTATCCAGAGAATCTGGGTGCGTCTGAGTTGCGGTTTATCCTTCTTTGGTGCACACACCTGTGGCGTCTGACCCTTGGTCGAATCTGTAAAGAAACCTGGCTCCTGGCTCTCGACGCGCTTAGCCCACTCGGAGTTTAACGCGAAGAAACGATAGAGGTCGGGGTGGGGGGACATGGTGTGGTGGAAAGAGGCCGTCTATCAGCTCTACTTATAAAAGTCGAGTTATATTCGGTATGGAAGTCGCCGCATCTGATAGATCAACGTCATTTGCACTCGTACTACGTCCTCGGTGGGTGCTACGATACCATCATCCAGTGTCCGCTGCTCCCCACTCGCCTATGCCTTTCGCGGACGACGAACAACTCTCCATGCGGTTGTGTGCTATATCCTCGCCGAAAGCGATATGCGCCCTCGCCGAAATATCGCCCTTGCTTCAAAAGCACCGTCGAATCGCCTGCGGCTCAAATTACATTTATGGAACTGTTCAATTAGTCTCGTAAATCATATACCAGGGCGACCGAGAAGATATTAGTCGTTCTCGGCGAACTATATAAATCTGGCTCCGTTCCTGAACGCGCTCACAACCCGAAGCGACGCGGCAGCAATTTCCTCAATTAAACGCGAAACTGACGCGGGCACAATGGTGTTTCTTGGCTAGGGCTCCCACTACCTGCGCATCCTTGAACGAGACGGCGCTGCATGCTCAACTAGGCTCGACAGGGGCTTCAAGCATCCCTGGGCAAGGCTACTACCAGTGCTGGGCACAGTCACTTTCAATGCGGCCCCGCTGGCATCGAGATCCATACCACAATATCCTGGACGCAACTTCAAAACCGAATTAACCCAGTTAACCCCAGCATTCTCCCATCCTGCATTCCACGTTGACGTGCACTCCCTCAAATCATATCTGGCGACCCCACTAGCGACCCCACTTTCCGTGATCTCCTGCGACTCCTTCAGCAAATCTTGTGCGAGTTCGCGTATCTCCTATCGGTACCCTTCGCACCGAGCCCGGGATGTTTGAAACAGAGGCACACTGGAGTCTCCTGGGACCTGACTCTGCCTGGGTTGGAGACTGCGGACCGTCACGGTTGGACCGAGTCGTACTTTAGCCTTGACGGGCATAGACAACACAAGAAAATCGTTCCTGTCAAGTCTATAAACTACATTTTTGGTTGGACCAACAAGACCAAAGGGCAACGGTCTCCGGCTCGAAACCTCCGCGGCTTGAACATGCAAATACCCCGCATTCAGGATTAAATGAAATTTGCCGCCAAAAATAAACTCAAGCGCTGAAAATGTACCCCGCGTCGAAAAAAAAATTATCTGTGGCTGTAACTGCCATCCGAGAGGAGGCGGTCTCGTCCCTTGAGTATAATATCTGGCCTGACGAAAAATAGCCGTGGTCCGTCATTCGCACCCCGCGAAATGGTGGTTTGAAATAATTGTCCCGTTGAAAAAATCGAGGGTCAAAAAGTCTGCTTCAAGTTGAAGAAACGATGTTATCCGCACTTTAAAGCAGTCTTGTTCGATCTGGGCGACGCATCGGAATGGTGACCCTGGTTCCTGGCGCCGGAAATCTGCGTGGTCAGAGTGTTAAATTCAATTTCTAACCGTGACCATTCGTACCGCTCGAAACCTCCGCGGCTTTCGACTGGCCAATGCTCAGCGCATGTTGTCTGACAAAGAGGTGGCAAGCGAAATGTATTGGTTGAGTATCTGCCCGAGGTACGCGGGACTTGATAAATTTAAGAATGGGCACAAGTGAGGGCTTTACAACTCTTAGCGATGATAAAGAGGCGAAGGAATTCATTCAAGGCTACGATAACATACAATATGAAAGGGAAGAAAAGAAAATCAACCATCCAATTAACGTGCTATTAGTCGACGCAAAGGTCTTAAGCCTGGGGGCCCACGACAAGGGTGCACGAGGGTTGGAACCCACCCCCAGGAAGCCGCTCTTGAGGCGGGGCTGACGGCGCGCAAGAGAAACCTGGAAGGAAGCGCGTTAGCGACGGAAGTCAGAGAGAGAAGAAGGAAGCTCACCGAAACTGTCCGCCACGACGCCGTAAAAGAGGATGACGGGGTGCCTCATTTGGCCGCGGTCCGTCACCACTCTGAGGCTGTTGCGGGATCTGAAGGCGAGCGGTGAGTAAAGGGGGGGGAGGGGGGGGAAATCGTGAAGCAGAAACTCACCTCGGGAAAGCCCAGGGCCCGCTCAACGTGAGAGGCACGCAAAGCACAAGTGAGACGCCTTTCGACGACCACTCCGGCTGGATGAACTTCGACTCAGTCCCCGACCCGCACCAGCGGTACGATCGTTGAGAGCGTCTCCGTCTACCCTCGACGTCGGTTTGGCCACTATCCCCTCGCGTCCGGCAAGAAATAGCGCCTTCCACTGTTAGCCGACCGGGCCCGAACACCTCTCGACGGTCTGAAAGAAAAAGGTGAGTAACGGGGGAGAGGAGAAACGACCCACCTTTGAGAGTCCGACCTCACAGGATAGCGCGTGCCGTCTGAGGAATTGTGTCAGCCACCAAGTCGAAAGGAAAGGGGGAAGAGAGAGCTCACCAGCTGGGTCCGCCACGACGCCTCAAAGAAGATGACGCGGTGCCTCATTTGGCCACGGTCCGCCACCACTCTGGGCTGTTAGGGATCTGAGTGGGCGTCAGTAAGAGGAAATTTCGGAGAAAAAGAAGAAACTCGCCTCAGGAAAGCCGAGGGCCCGCTTGCTGTGAGAGGCGCGCTAAGCACAACTGGACGCGTCTTTCGACGGCCACTCTGGCTGGTTGGACATCGACTCAGTCCCCGACCCGCACCAGCGGTACGATCGTTGAAAGGGTCTCCGCCCGCCCTCGACGTCGGTTTGGCCACCATCCCCTCGCGTCCGGCAAGGAATGGCGCCGCACACTGTTAGCCGACCAGGCCCGAACACCTCCCAACAGTCTGAAAGAGAGCGGTGAGTAGCGGGGGAGAAAGGGAATGGACCGACCTTGGTGAGAGGCCGGACTCTGGGGTCTGTAGGCCGAAAATAGCCGCGCCTTTATAGCCTTCTGGCTGTGCGCGCACAGACCATGATCTGCAATCATGACGTCAAAACAAAGAACCCGCGGACCCACACAAGGTACATAACTCAGGTCTTCTTAATGAAGTGGCTGTACTGCCGGCGGCTCCTGGATGCGTCGAAAATGGCTCACGGTTGTCGTCCTCAATATAAAGCTTAAACGAGTCGGAGTCTACGATGTATCGACCTGTATCGAACAGCGTGGACCTATATGGACGCGGCGGCGATGTTGTCCATAGCAACTTCAATTTTTTATTCCATCCTCCAATACTGTACTAAGTTGTAAGTAGGGAGGCAACCCCTGAGGACCGTGACAAGGCCGTTACCTATTTTTTAGGCAACGTCGGGACTGTGAGCCGTGACGGATTATCGCGAATTCAAAGCTTCTGCGTACACATCATGTGTTTACGCAGACGTCCTGGTGACTCTCTTGCCATTCTACCTCATCTTCCCTCCTTCCTTCCTTCCTACCTCGTTTCCAACGCCATCAATTTTTTTGACATCTTTTTTCTACGTGTCACAATAATTTTTTGGCAACGGCCCTCACCGTTACTGTGATCCGCCAGAAAATAGGCAACACAACGGGCAGCCCTTTACCGTGAACGTTGCCTCCCTACAACTTGGCACAGTATTGTCATCTGGGCTCGTACATCTTGCGCCGTCCTTTCACACAAACAGAAAATCCGCAACTTTCGCGAATATACCCGAAGATCACACAATCACTTCATATTTGATGCCATATTCTTGTGTCTGGAATCGTCCCAGATTCCCTCCGTTTAATCTCGGCTCTTTGGGAGGCCTTCTCCAACATATAAAGAAGCCGTGTACCAAGCTAAATATTTTACAGAGCAATATTGATGGTTCCCGGAAGTTCCCCATCTTCCACGAGTTCCATCACCTCACATCAGTATCACTCCCGACTTTCTGGGCACAAATCTTTACAATTTATCTTGGAACTTTGCTTCAGCGTTCCTACGAAGTGCATGCACGCCCTCAAATTTTACCGGGGTGCTAGGCACAAGTGGACCGCTACAAATGACTATTTCACCGAAGTCCATGAAAATTCGCCCACGCTAAGATAAAAATCAATGCAAAGGACTGCAAAAGAAAATGGCATCACGGTGGCTCGAACACCGGACCTTCAGATGTCACTGAATAACTTCAGTCTGCTGCTCTCCCAACTGAGCTATGACGCCGACAGAAGAGGAAATTTAAATGCCCTCTTGATCGTTCTATGTATGCATCATGATTTGGTTGAAGGAATCACAAAGTTTTTATTTTCGCTGAAACGTTGTACCCGTCCATAATCCCGGCAAGGACCCAGCAGTTACCCACCACGTATATGAGTCCTCTGACCCACAGCCCAAAAAACACGTTCTCTCCTAGGAATTCCAGCTTGTACGCCTCGTGAAGCCATAACGCCTGCGTCCCAACCCACACGCTGATATACGCCACGGTAGTCCAACGCGAAACAGAAAGACGCGGGAGGAGCAAGGGGAGAAGCAGCAGGTACCACAGGAAGTACTGCGACGGAATGTTATGAATTGTGTTCCGAGAAGAAAGATAAAAGATACCTGAGATGTGCACACTTTATTGAAAACGACGAAGACTACAGTCTGCACGAACCACGTAAACACAAGGTCGTCCTTCCGACGCCCAAAGGCCAGGCCGGTGCCGAGTGCTAGTGCCATTTGCGGGACAAAGCTCGTCAGCGGGGAGCGGAGGATGCGACTCCATAAAGTCAGGTTCGGCGTCGTCGCGTTAAGAGATGGATAGGTTAGGTAAATGAGGTAAAAGTAGGGCGAAAAGTTGTGTCGGTGATCCAGGCGGTCGATGTGGTATAAATATGATTCGTGGAGAAACGGGTATCCCCACCTGTTGTGTGTTTTAATTCAACTTGGTCGATGGGAAGACAAAAAAGGACCAACACAAGGTAACATCCTACGCCAAGGGCAAAGAAAGTCGAAGCACTCAATACCCCGAAACGGATGGTTCGGGCGTTAATTATGGTGCGTAGATATCCCATCCAACCCGGGGTAGTTGGTGCCCCGCCGATGACACCGAGACACGCTACGCCGTAGATGACGGGGTAAATCTTCCAATGCGTACTCAGTCCCAGCGCAACGGCAGCGGCATCCCACCGGCCCTTGAGAGCGGCGTACAGTGTCAACAGCACAAATAGCGAGAGCACAGATTCAGAAGAGCCGCGCGTAGATATGGCAAAGACAAGTGGGTTGAGGAGGTACAGTGCGCTGTAAAGCGTCGCCAGATTTCGGGCTCGGGTGGTATCCACGGGCGCCTGGGACGCGACTTGCGACGTCGGGAGAACGAAGGAGACGAGAAGATCGTAGATCAGCATGCCGTTGAACATGTCGCAAGCGGCGAAGAGAAATTTGCCAAACGAAGGATGGAGGAATTTATTCGGGGCAAGCAGTAGCGCCAGCAGCGGCGTGTAGCGATAGGTCTCCCGAGTATACGGACTGTATGAGAAGATTGGCTTCTGTGTAGACGAAGAGATGGACGGGCGCACTCTCCAATGCTCGCTCCAACTTTGAGCGGCCCCTGAGCAAAATTTTCGGTGGTTGGGTTGAGGAGAAAGCGTGCTGCATCGCTGAAGACGCGGTAATCGACGTCTGTATATTTCACAACCGAACGGGCATCGTGCCATTCACTGTAAAGGATGAGACCGACGCGAATAGCCACAGAGAGCACCAGGACATCGCGGAAAGAAGGAATAGCTGGCATGACTAAGCTTTCAAACGCGACGCGTCCTCGACCTCAATTACACAGTTAAAATTGATTGGAAAACATATATGCAGACGTGGAGCTCGGTGGCCAACATAGCAAGTATTCATGCTACTGGTGTAAGGTAGGTGAAAGACAAACAACCCCGGGCTCTGTCCGTCCAAAGTATAACAACAGCCCTCTAACAACCTCATGCGCCGCGCATTGTTGCTGGGCTCAGATCTGAATGGAAAAAAATCAGCAAGAGAAGAAACCGACAAAATGAAACACTGACGTATTGCGACACCCACCGGAAACCTGGCACAACGTGAGTACTGCGTGGACAAAGACAGACGAGAGAAACTCACCTTCTCCGTACCCCTGCCTCTGGACAACCGAACACATGAAGATTTCGATGGGCCGGATGTCGGTAAGAGGGATTTTGCCCTGGAATTGCGGTATTAGAGCAAGAATGAGAAAAGAAAGACCGCACGCACCTTTCCGGTGGTCTGGTAAAGACCGAGGTGATGCCTGAGCTCCTCCTCGCTGACCGCCCCAGGGGCATCAATCTTGTTTCCAAGAATCAGGAAGGGGACCTTTGCCAGCTGTTCAATCGCCAGGAGAGCGTCGAGCTCCGCCTTGGACTCGGAGAAGCGCTCAAAGTCGGCGCTGTCCACGAGGAAGATAATAGCGTCCACTTCGGGGAAGTAGTCGCGCCAGAGTCGGCGGGCTGAAGGAACGTTAGTTCGAAAATAATATTGAATCCTCAAGAACATGACGGACCCTGTTGATGTCCACCAAGGTCGTGAGTCGTAAATTTAACGTTGCCAATCGCAAGCTCCTCCGACGCTATGACCGGGTGAATACAGTGCCTGAACAAGACCGAAGGGTCCACGTACTCGGGTGGAGAGTTGGCTGCAAAGTAGCGAGCCGGTCGTTTTTGAGCATGTGCAGAAGGGTCTGAAGAGACCACGTCAATTTCGGCGCCCTATAAAACGCAGAGTCTATAGCGCACCGTTTTTCCAGCGTTATCTAGACCAAGGAAGAGAATTTTGGCATTCTTGTGCATAAGTCCTAGAACAACTTGAGCGGCCGCGGAGGAATGAAACTGGGTGAGCTACCAAGCTGAGCAAGGACATCCCAGAACCAGTTGATGATGAACATGAAGTTTGTGTGAGCGCTAGAAGGGAGAAGGGCGAGACAGCGATAAAGTCGAGGCTCAAGCGCAAATAAGCTGCTTACGTGGCCAAGTCTCCCACACGAATATATTGCTTGACACGCATCCTCCACGCATTCTCAACGCTGAGGGTTTCGTTCAATAATATAAAATATGCGTCAATAATTTACATGCGTGTCGTATACATTTGAATATTAAGCAGTGCAAGAAAAGGAAAACCAAAGCAATGCAAGAAGTGAGATCAGTGGAACCGGGACCCATTAGGAGCACTACGATAAATACTAGTAGCAGGAGAGTCGAATATAAATGCATCTAATTCAGAGTCAGAATCTGAGTAATCGTCCGACTCCTCTGCCGGGCTTATCGCGCCGACCCGGAAGACATCGCGGAATGGCGTCTGAGGAACGTCGTTGACGGCCTCCGACGAGATCGACTTGGCAAGAATCGCGGCCACACGCGCCTCAAGACGCCGATTGGGAATGGTGTACACCGGCGCTTCTGGGGATCGGTCGTCGTCTTGAAAGAATGTCGTCAAGTCATGTAGGTTCTGCACAAGACCCCCAAGATCTTCCTGCTGCGGGCTCGATGAAGCGAGCGCCTCCACCTCTGGCTCAAAGTCGATGCGGGAGGGTCGAGTGGGCATGGAGCAAGTGTCAAAGACCGCCATCATGTTCGACCGGCAGGTATTCCGAAGCGTGTCCGCCTGAACGACGCACCATCCAGACGGTTCGGGAACGCCAAAGACAGTCGCGACGGAGTTTACATCTTTGGTCGCGGAACGCCCATGCATGCTCATGCGTAGGACGTGTTTAGCTGCGAGGCCACCAGCCATGGTCATTGGCTCCTCGAGGACCTCTAGAGCCTGTGCAGCCAAGTCGGTCTCGAGAAGCCGCAGAAGAGGCATCAGCAGCTCCGATCCGAGCAGTTCCACTGGGTTACGGGTCTCCCGCTGCTGGAACAAGACTTTGAGAATCTGCATCGCCTGCACGCGCAACCAACGTTGACGATTTAGAACGAGGCCGAGGAGTAAAGTGACGATCTCGGTCCAATAATCGACACCGTAATGCTCCCGTAAGCTCGCTACAGATTGACGCAGAAAATCGTCCCGTGTGCGGAAGTGCCCTTTGATGAATGAGTTCATAATTTTCTGGATGCTCTGGCGTCCCTCCTGCTCGGCGAGGATACTGATGTCTTCGGCAAACTCCTTCAGCGCGGGATCGTTTGGCGTATCCGGAGCCATGGCGTGTAAACACCATGGGAGCGCCACTGTATACAGATCGCGAACACGTCCCTGGGTGGGATCGATGAGATTGTCGTTCTGAACTTTGGTCAACGTCCGCAGGATCTTCATGGTCGTATCAGAGGTCGTAGAAGACCGGAGTCCAGTCAGCAAGACGGGCTGCAAGAATTCAGGACCGTTCCAACCCAAGGGTTGGCATGAAAGCAAGAGGTCGGCAGTACTCGGGTCGTCGAAATTGATGCGCGGGAGCAGACTCTCTAGAATCCGGAGTGTCTGGGCAAACTCATGTTCAACTGTGGTCGAAAGGGAAGCGCAGGCCGACCAGAAGAATTGGGGGAGCATCGACTTGTCAAGATCGGGCAACGAAACCATGACGTGCATCGTGCGCATGATTTCCGCTGTGAACGACTTAATGTTGTCGTCGGGGCCCGAAATCGTGTTCGAGAGACGACCGAGGAGGAGAGCGAGATCCCCAGGCGTGATACGGACCATGATCGCACGGAAGATCTGCAATGACCTGAACGCTGTGGCCCTGATCGAGCACGACGTTCCCCAGGATAACGCCAACGAACCCCACATTTCCGGCAGCATGGAGCAGAGCGGAAGTAGGAGACGTACAACCTCAGATGAGAGCCATTTCATCTTCGGTTCGGCGTCGACACTAGTCTCGTCCTCTTTCCAGTACATATTCTCTGCTTCGGCCTCCAGACTGGAGATGGACGCCTTGAGAGCCGAACGACTGGGATAGGACGCTCGATCTGGGAGCTCGTCGTACCCGGGAACCCAGGATCGCAAAAGCTGGAAGAGCATACGCTGTGCACGCGTGCGAACAAACGGAAGACGGTGATCGAGATGCGTAAAGAGGGCGTGGAGCAGTATGGGTAACTGTGGTTTCAACTCCCAATAACGCTGCAACGCGACATCCGCCAGGAATAGCCAGGCGAACTGCGCCGACCCCAACGCCATCTTGGGCTCATTGGAAGCAAATAGCGCGTCGAGATCGGCCCAAAGTTCCATGTCATCCGCATCCGGAAAGGCCAACTTGTGATCAATGG